CTTTCATCTCTTGGAATATGGACAAATGCCTTGCAACCGAAGACACGCAAATGATCATAGCTTGCATTCTTGCCAAACCAAATTTTGTCTGGCACCTCACTATTAAGAATAACAGTAGGAGTGAGATTAATAACATGCACTGCCGTGTATAGTGCCTCACCCCAGAAATGCTTGGGTAATTTAGCATCTGAGAGCATACATCTCACCGTCTCAAGCAATGTCCTGTTCATCCTCTCCACTAAACCATTCAACTGAGGAGTTTTAGGAGGAGTCTTCTCATGTGCAATACCATGTTGCTTGCAATAAACATCAAAGGGTCCACAATACTCACCACCATTGTCAGTATGAATGTGTTTCAACTTCTTCCCTGATTGTCTTTCAACCAAGGCATGAAATTGTTTGAACCTCTCCAACACCTGATCTTTTCTCTGGAAAACATAGACCCATAGTTTCCTGGAACAATCATCAATAAAGGTAACAAAGTAAAGTGCACCACTAAAGGATTTCTCCTTCAATGGACCACAAACATCAGGATGTACCAATGGCAACAACTCTGACTTCCTTGAGGGAGGATGCTTCTTGAAGGATACCCTGGTTTGCTTGCCAGCCATGCAATGAGAACATTTCTCCAATTCAGCACTCTTCAACCCTTGAAGAACATCATTTTTAGCTAAGCAATTCAATCCCTTTTCACTTATATGACTAAGCTTTCGGTGCCACAAAGATGCCTCCATATCCATGGCATTCACATTGTCTTTAGCAACCATAGCTTTTGTCCAAAACAGTTTAGAAATTTCCTCCCCTTTAGCCACAACCAAGTTACCTTTGGTGAGTTTCCACTTTCCAGAACCAAAGTGGGTATCATAACCACCATCCTCAAGTATCTGTACAGAGATCAAATTAAAATGGACATCAGGAGCATGATTGACTCTTCTAAGCAACAACTGCATTCCCATGTTGGTTTGCAGGCAAACATCACCAACACCAATTACTTTAGACACACCATCATTACCTATCTTCAACACTCCAAAATCACCAAAAGTGTAAGATGTGAAAAACTCCTTCCTCGTTGTAACATGCAGTGTAGCACCACTATCAACAATCCACATGCTCTCATCTGATACAAGATTAACTGACCCATGGTCACTGAGAATAACAAGATCACCACAAGTAGCAATAGTAACACGATCATCATCATCGTGATCCTTTTCTTTCTGCTTACCCTTCTTTCCTTTATTCTCCTTTTTCCACAGAAAATAATTTCTTTGTATATGCCCTATTTTATGACAATAATGACACTCCACATTCTTGTATCTGGACTTGGACTTACTCCTGCTCTTTTCTCTACCACCCTTTGGTTCCTTCTTCTGACTTCTCTCCCTGTTTTCAGTGACAAACACCTCAGACTGAGATGAAGAACCCTGTGCCTTCCTTCTCATCTCTTCATTAAGAGCACCACTCTTTGCCGCTTGCAAAGAAATAACACCATTAGGGGCCGAGTTGGTAATAGAAACCCGAAATGTCTCCCAAGACTCAGGTAAAGTATTTAGTAGCCATAGTCCCAAAACTTCATCATCAAATTTGATACCCATTCCGAATAACTGATCTAGGAGCCCTTGAAATTCATTCAAGTGATCTGAAATGGAAGAACTTTCCCTGTACCTCAAATTCATCAGATAATTCAACAAATACAATTTATTATTTCCTGATTTAGAAGGATACAAGGACTTAATCTTCTCCCATAAAGTTCTAACATGTGTCTCATTTGCAATGTGATTATAAACATTGTCTTCTATAATTTTTCGAATAAAACCACACATCTGTTGGTGTTCAAAGTTCCAATCTTCTTCAGACATAGAATCCGGCTTTTGAGAAGTAAAGACAGGAAAATACATTTTCTTCACAAATAACAAGTCTTTCATCTTGCCCTTCCACAAGTGATAATTAGTGCCATTCAAAACAATCATTTTAGTATTTTCCTCCATCATTCAAGCAAGTCAAATAGCCCCAAAACAAAGCCAACAAGAGCTCTGATGCCACTCTGATGGGGAAACAGCAACACAATAACAATACAGAGCAAACTCAAACAGTTATCGCAACGGAATAAAATTCCCCAAACTTGCAAGAATCTATGAGGAGCAACAATCAATGAACAACAATAATAAATCACCAAAAATCACACACAGAGACACCAAGATTTTTAACGTGAAAAACCCCTCAAAGTAAGGGTAAAAACCACGTGTCGTCCAGACCAAAGAAATAGCTCCACTATGATCAACAAAGAGTACAAAAGAGTCTCAATCAACTACACAAAATAGTGCTAACACCTAGCCAAACAACAAAGCAATAAAGCTTACAAATAGAGAACAAAGAAGATGAAAAAACTCCAAATACACAGCTACAATGTGAACTAAATATCTCCCTACTCAGACCTCGTTTCAAAGATCCAACCGGTCAGAATGAAGAACCGGATGTCACGAACCTGCTGTCCAATTTGCAGCCCGATCCAATGGTGAACGAATCTTCAATATCGATTTTACTGTTGCAGCCCTGTGTAAAAATGAGAATGACTTTCTCTCTTCCTCTCTCTCAAAGTGCTGGTGCTCTAAGTGACTTTTGACTTTCCCTCTTTTTCACTCTTTGTTTTCATACCCTCTCTCCACTTAATTAAGTGAGACATCAAGTGAGCTTCTCAATTTTGGACCTTTTCTCCACATAGGATGGGAGTCCAATACCCAACACATGATTCACATTTATTATACTGAGTGAGTAACTTAATTGAGCGTTATAGTGTCTTTTTCAGGTACACCCCCCTCGACATGAATAGACAATTGGTACGGAGAGTGAAGAAGAGTAAAGGCATCAACAAGGAGTGGAGAAAAATATCTTGTTATATGTAAATTATTATTAATTTTTTTATCAACTACACAAAGTTTATGAGCCTATTGCCCACAACCATGCCATCATCACAGTTAATTTATCATTTTCCTCTTCTTTGACAATAACATTCTTCAATGACCAAATTCACGCAGCCAAAAGTAGTCGCATATTTATTTATTCATGATTTATAGCCACGTTTGCGAATTGCAGTGTGAAAAAAAAATGTCTAAAACAATAGAAAAATGGGTCAAGTAGTAGCTTATTAATTTACTTTAGGAGTAACTTTATATAAAATTATTTCGTTTAATAACTTATGTTTTATATTAAATTTCAATGATCCAACAGTTGAATTTAAAATTCTTAATGCATAGATCAAGTCTACAAATTTTTAAAAAAATTGAAAATTATTAATACTTTTTTCATTAATTCAAATTGATGAATGATCCTAAAATCAGTTTATATGTTGATTTGAATTAATAAAATGAAGTATCAAGTGATTTTTAAATTTTTTTAAAAAAATTATACTTAATTTATGCATTAAGAACTTTAAATTCAACAATTAGATCGTTGAAATTAGATGTAAAATATGAATTATCAAATAGAGTAAGTTTAGGTAGACTTACTCCTATAGTAAAAGGATCTCACCTCATATATGTGTGTGTGTGTATATATATATATATACCTAAACTTATTTTGTTTAAGGCTTAAATATGTTTAGTCCCTCAAATTTAAGGTAAATTTGTTTTTGGTCTCTCAAATTTAAAATTGTTACTTTTAGCCCCTGTAATTTTCAAAAATATTATTTTAATCCCTTAGGTCACCAATAACATATATGAAAGTAACAAATTAAGACGGTTATGCAATATCAACTGGATTTAATGTGATGTTTTCACTAACAAAGATACCAATAGGTGAATTTTATACAATAATATTTGATAATTGATTAAGTAGTTGTGAGTAGTTATTTAGAAAGAGTGATAAGTTGTAATTTAAAGAACTAAAACATGTTTAGTTTCAATTTTTTACTTTTTTATTCTTAGCAATTAAGGAGTAGAATGATATGATAAAAATGAAGATCAAAACCATTATAAAAAAAGTATTTTAGATTATTATTATTATTATTAAGCTAAATGACACTCCATGTCTTACTGAGAATAAGAATTTTAATTAATGAACTATTTTTCTAGTTATGTATTATTTTTTTAAGATAGTTAAATTGTAAATATAAAAAAAGTGATATTCTTTTATTATTTATACCGAATAGGTCATTCGACCATCAAAAATTGTTAAAATTGAGATCCCTAGGCATCCTCGATAGTCGAAGGGATCGCATGATTAAAATCTTTAACCTATCCCTTTAGCCCCTTTGGCACCCTCGCCAATCGAATGGATCGTGTAAACTAGTACAACCCTTTGGCACTCTCGGTAGCCTAAAGGATTAAAGACAAATTAACCCTTGCGGTAGTCGATAACGTTGAACGACATGTAAAACCCCTAAATTATGATAACCAAAATGATTAAGACTTAATCATTGATACAAAATCAATTATCAATGTATTACCTAATTGGTAACACTAACTTATAGTCCATCGAGATTTGGACCCATTACGATTAGTATAAATAATTTGTAACTCGATACGGAGAGTGAAGAGGAGTAAAGACATCAACAAGAAGTGGAGAGAAATATCTTATTACATGTAAGTTATTAATATAAATTATTATTATTATTATTTTTTATCAACTACACAAAGTTTATGAGCCTATTGCCCACCACCATGCCATCATCACAGTTAATTTATCATTATCCTCTTCTTTGACAATAACATTCTTGATTCTTCAATGATCAAATTCACGCAGCCAAAAGTAGTCGCATATTTATTTATTCATGATTTATAGCCACGTTTGCAAATTGCAGTGTGAAAAAAAAAAGTCTCAACCAATAGAAAAGTGGGTCAAGTAGTAGCTTAATTAATTTATACATTGATTAATTAATTAATCAACTAATTTTTCAGTGTATCATTTTGACAAGGGAGGCTTCACGTGGCCACTTGTGGTGTGCCAAAATGGAACCTAACGTAAGCATTCGGAACGCTACAAGATTAAATTGCGTGTGCGTGTCATCACATTCACGCATGGAGAAGTTGGTCGAATATATCAGACGCCATTTTTGCCTCTTCTCTTCAAAAGTCTAAAGTTAAGGGTCCTTTTTTTCTCTATAATAATAGTAACAACGTTTTGATTGCTTAACCAAACAAACACCCAACGTTGTTATTCTGCGAGGGTCGAACAAGTTCGTACCATGGTACGGTGCGTGTCGCATGTTTTGGATTTTGCGTTTGTTGCTGCGTTCTGTGTATTCAGTTTCTTGGTTAACGTTGCAACAGCTCAAACTGCAAACGCTACCACAGATCCTTCTGAAGGTTAGTGCTTTCTCTTTTCCTATGTTTGTGTCTATGTTGGGTTGTTGTCGTTTGTTGCAAAATTTGAACCCAGAATTTAAGAATAATCAAAGACAAACTTCATCAAAAGTATTTTTATAAGTGAAAAATGAAATAAACTTTTATATGATATAATTCATGTATAAATTATTTCGTAGAATTTTCCTTTTTTTTTAATTAATTTTTCTAAAAATTTATTTTAACTCATGTATGAATTAATTTTACCAAGTTTATTTTGATTTTGATTTTTTTTTAATTTATAAAAATTAAAAGACTTTAAAGTCTTGTACTAATTAGTGTGTGTTTGATTTTTCATTGAAAACACACAAAATTACGTTCAACGAAAAATAAAAAAATGTTAGTGTTTTGGAATGTGTGTTTTTTTCTGGATTCAACCAAACTCAATAATAAAATAATCATTCTTTAATAATTTTGTAAAATCTTTCCATGTTTAGATTCAAACTGGCAAGTGGTTAGTAAGTGATTAATTATGGGCAAGTGGTTAGTTACCGGATGTTCATATATGTGTTATGAGAATAATTATTTTAATTACTGTAAAATTTTTGTTATTAGAGAAACTTTGTTAAACTAGGGGATAATTACTTTTTTTTGTTTCTTTTGTTCATGGCTCTGAAGCCAAATTTTCTGACTCTGCAGAACAAGATCCATGTTAGTAGTATTGAATTATTGATAATCAGGTCCTTAAGCGTGTTAATGAAATTCGATTCCTAATATATGTTAATGAAGACCACTTGAGTTCATATAATAAGCTTGGTCTGTTGAAAAAAAAAAAATTAATTTTTCATCGAATCAAATTTTTAAAAGGGTGTGAATATAAATAATATTTTCCATGGATATTCCAGCTCATTGAGTTAAAAATTATTCTATAATAGTCGCTATCTTAAAGAATAATTGAAGATGAAATTTTTGACTAATAAATTATTCTGTGCTATTATTTAACCACTATGATCATATGGATTAAAAGTATGTATAGGTTAAATATTAGCATAGTGTTGAATAAACTAACAGAAAAGGAAATTATTGGTACATTCATATTGATCTAGAAGAGTTTGTTCTGTTAGGAAATTTTCTGTTTTCCTCTGTGATATGAAATTTTATATTTATATGTTTTGCTAATTTTAATTTATTTTTTACTTTTAATTTGTAGTTAGTTACCTTCCAAAAACCAGTTAGATCTACCTGATGTCTCTCTCTTATTTGTAAACCTCATTATTGATGATAGATACTAGAAGACACTTCCTATGTTTCTAACTTTCTTTGAGAATTTTGATGGAGAATTTTTTTCAGAATTTATTTTCACCGAGTTATGACTTGACTTTTCTTATATTAAATATCTCTCTCACATTTTTTTTCTTCATATTTTAATTAATCTCACATATTATGGTATGACTTTTATACGTGTAATATAAATTTAATTTTAAAGTTTGTCATTATAGATATAATAAAATAATGAGTTAAACATGTTTTTTTTTTCCTATAAATAAATATGTAAAGTATTTTTAAAACGTTGAGTTTCTGTTTTTTTTAAAATATCAAATTTTATCTTTATCATTAAATTTCTTAATTTAATCCAACAATGATGTCCAAGTAGCACCATTATCTTTTCACCTTTAAATTTCCATACGTGTATGACATGATGTGTCTAAAAAAACTTATAAATCGACATTTTAAAAATGAAGGAATAAAAATGAACTTTTACATATGTTAAAAAAACATGTTAATTAAAAATATATTAGTGGAGAAATGTTTATTTATTCAAGTAAGCAAAACATTTTCTGTAAAATAATAATAATAATAATAATAATCAACACATTTACAAAGGTAAAATATAGCCTTGGTCAACCAAGTGGGCTTGTGTATTTTCTTTTTCAATTTGAAAATACAATCCATGTGGTTTTATATCCTTATTTTGCATCTTTTTTTTTTTTTTATTGAAATGTTTTTTTATTAACTAAAACGGTTTTTTAGTGAGAGATATAAATACATTATTTTGTCTTTTTTTTTTCTTTTATATTTCTTTCATATTAAACAAAAAAAAATATTTTCTTTTTTACTCATACTTTTTCTCTTTTAAATTTTTCTCCTAGACGAAAAAACCATTTCTCTTTGGCTCACCTTAATTTTTCAAGATTAAAATATTTTTTAATTCCTATATTAACTTCATTTTTTAATTTTTATAATATATAATAGACCTTTTTAATCATTAAATAACACATCTTAATCTAAAAAAATAAAATACATTACTGTTAAGTGAATCAATAACTCAACATCATTCAGATAAAAATCACAATTATCAAAAAAATTAACGATAAAAAAAATAAAAAAAAATCTAAATATAAAAATAAAAAAAATATTTTAAATTAATAAGCACTAAAAGGTAAAGGACACTAAAAATATATTTTTCAATTGAATCACAATCACCTTCTTCGTTCTTTTCCTTCTTCTGAGTCCATTTTCTTGAAAAATGTGAACTTGTGAATGCAGCAAGAGCTTTAAATTCAATCTTCAGCAAATGGGGTATATCAGCAGACACAAGCCAATGGAATGTGAGCGGTGAAGTGTGCAGTGGAAGAGCCACCGATCAAAGCAGCACCATTGATGACCAAACTTTCAACCCATTCATCAAATGTGATTGCTCCTATGACAACAAAACTACTTGCCGCATCACAGCACTGTAACCCTTTCTCTCTCTCTCTCTCAACTTTGTTTTTAATTTTTTCAGAATAAATTTATAATTTCTGATGTCAAAGTTGGAAGCTTGCTTTAACTATAGCAATTTAATGTTTTTTGATTCGTTTTTTTTTTATTTTTATTTTTTTAATTGTGCAGGAAGGTTTATGCAGTGGACGTGGTTGGTGAAATTCCAGAAGAGCTATGGACTCTCACTTACCTCACCAATTTGTATGCTTTCTTTCTTATTATTAACTTGATAACATTAAAATAACTCATATGAACATTGTTGTACGGACAAGATTCTAAATTTTAACTTTGGTGTTGTTATCATAATTCTTATTGAAAAAACAAAAAATGATTCACCACAAACTTAATTTTTATTATTTGATTACTATTATTATTAGTTTAATTTTCATGTACTGTCTATGTGAGCAAGAATCCCAAATATTACTTAGGTATTATTAAAATCAATAATCTTAGCATATAATATAATATGTAATGAATGACAGTGTAAGGATATAAAAAATTGAATGACAGTATGAATTTACACCTTTGAGACAATACTATATTAAGGAAAATTTCTGATTGGTTGTCAAATGCAAACATTTTTACATTGATCGAACAAAGAAATTAAACTCCTTATTATTGTTATCTTAATGCATTTTTGGCTTTTGATTGGTTGTTCTCATGTAAGAATGACATAATTTTATGCTGTACTTATTTTCATCAAATTGCAAACAGAAATCTTGGGCAGAATTACTTAACGGGTTCTCTACCTCCAGCCATTGGAAATCTAACTCGTATGCAATACATGTAAGGCAATTTGACTTAAGTTCGGTTCATAATATTTTTGTGTACTTAATGTTCAGACACGTAATTTCTAACGTTTGCATTAATTATTTGTTAGGACCTTTGGCATCAATAATTTATCAGGGGAGCTTCCAAAGGAATTGGGAAATCTTACAGAGTTAATAGTATTGTACGTTATTTACACTCAGCTTTTCTTCCTCTGGTTACAAAGGTTGCAAATAGGGGTGTTCAAAAAAGTTGAGCTAAACTGAACTGTATGAGAACTGAACTGAATTGGAAAAATAATTCATTAGAGCTGAACTGAACTGAAAAATTGTTTTGACAAACAAAATCGATCTGTTTTATTAGTTCAGTGAACTGTTTTATCAAATTTGAACAGAATTGTATTTTAAACTGAACTAAACTAAACCATTCTTTTTTTTGCAATGATAAATATAAGAAAAAATAAAAGTATGAGAATTTTTACCACTTTATAAAAATAGTTCAGTTTGTACAATATAGTTTAGTTAGCTTAGTTCAGTTTTCTATTAAAAAAAAATAATCAGTTTTATAACCAAGTTCAATTGACATTCAGTTTAGTTCGGGATATTTTGAACACCCATAGATGCAATGTGTTGTTTTTTTCAGGATCAAGTAGTCACTAAAGAGAGTTAGAGTCACTTGTGCCATGATTCTTGAGTGTTAAAAGTTTAGTTAATAGTGTGAAAGTGAGATTGGCCCAATGGGCTGACATTTGCCAAAGCCCATATGGGCCCTAAAATTAGATTGGTATATGAGCATATAAAAAAGGACAAAATAATGATTGATCTTATGATAACTGATATTTATTTCCTCTTGTAATGGGATTCATAAAATCCTTGATAGATAAGTGGTGAGACTATAATTGATAATTTTAATTACCAGAAATGATATTTTGTACAAAAATTTATGAGAAGAAATCCATGTGGAAAAATTTGATTTGAAACAAAACGTTTCCTTTCACACAACATAATTACTTAATTAGTTATTTGTATCTATTTGGTTACAAGGGCAGTTCGTTGTTTTTCATAAGAATTTGTTCATGAAATAGTTGTTCTCTTTAATTAATCCAAGATTGTTCTCTATATGTGACTGTGTGCATGAGAAATTATTCTTGATGGCTATGTTGAGGCTTTCTATTTGTTAAATTTGCAGGAGTTTTGGGTCAAACAAGTTCTCAGGATCTCTTCCATCTGAACTTGGGAAACTAACAAAGTTAGAACAACTGTAAGTACTTCTGCAATCTTTGCTTCTTAATATAACTAGTATTTTTGTAATGAAGTTTGCATTCTTTGATATCCTCAATTTGTGAAAATGAAATTGTAAATTATTTGTATATTCTTTCAATTGAATTTGCCACGATACGAAGGCAATCGCTCATATTTTGGAAACATACTAGAAGTAGAACTACACAAATGTGGTAATCATTAATTTTTAGTCTACGGAACCAACTCAATAGCAGCACAAATACAAAAATTGGATAATGATTTGGACAACATTATAGCCTGTGCCAAATATTTTTTTATGGAGTAATGTTAGGTATACAATACTTGACACATAAAAGTTTGCACTACTTCATACAAAATTAAATTTACTCTCAAATTTATATTAGTTCATATATAGTTTCTTTTTTACATAGATTCATATACATGTCCAATGATCTACTCAGTTATTGTGTTTTTTAGTATGCCAAAATATTATTCACCTAGCATAAGTTTTTCATGTATTAGAAGTTTAGTCCTGAAAGAAAAAATTTGATGCTAGTTTAAATTTTGGAATGTTTTGGAAGTCAAAGCCACACCTGTCCCCCAATGAATTTATCTCTCAAATATGTATACTTCATTTGTAAATCATTTTTATTTCTAATCTCAGTGAATCGTATCTCTAAGTTGTATTAGTACTCTCATGTAAGTTTATATATCTTTGTATATAATATATATAGATGTAGATACTACTCCTTCAAATATGGTTTGTGGCTGCAAATAACAACCGTATCCCTGGGAAGTACAACATTTTTATTACTCAAATACATGTAACAAACAGTTATTTATTGTGGTCCATACAATGAGACTTGTCATAAGTATACACTGTTTTTTCACCCAAAACAAAGTATTCATTGTTCTGAATAATGAGTTGATTCTGATAGTGCAAAGTATTAGCTTTTTTATTCAAAATTACAGTTTGTTACAGAGTTTTATATTTTTATTCTTACAAGAGAATTTTAATTTCAAAAAATATTTCCTTGCAGCTACTTTGATAGTTCAGGAATTAGTGGTCCAATTCCTTCCACATTTGCAAACCTTAGGAATTTGGTGACAGTGTAAGATATTCTTACTCTGATGTGCTTCATATAATAACAGATTAAAAATAACTTCGACAACAATAAAGTTTTTTTCTTTTGTAAATGTCAGATGGGCTTCAGACATGGAACTCACAGGCAAAATTCCAGACTTCATTGGGAGTTGGTCTAAGCTTCAAACCTTGTAAGACTACATTACCAGTCAACAAATTTTTTTTCCCTAAATTTAAATTAAGTAGGTGAAAAACTTTTGGGAAAAATCATTTATATTGGATGTGGAATTAAAGTTTCTTTCTTTACTTTCATATTTCGTTCTAGAAGAGTGTGCTGACATTGAATTGTTGTATATCTTAATAGGAGATTTGAGGGAAACTCTTTTAATGGATCATTACCCTCATCATTTTCCAATTTGACTTCTTTGACAGAATTGTGAGTATCACCGATGGTTTCTTGTTTGGTAACTGTTAATTCATGAAAGCTAATATATCATGTATGATATAAATGTAGGAGAATAAGTGGTTTATCTAATGGGAGCTCCTCGCTGGAATTTGTAAGGAATATGAAATCTTTGACTATCTTGTAAGGCCCCAGCTTTGCTAATGATCATGACTCACTCTGCCATGCAAAATGAATTCTTTATTTATTTTTTATCCTCCTAAACATAGTCCAAGAATTTTGTTTCATTTGTTGCAGAGAATTGAGGAATAACAATATTTCTGGTTCAATTCCATCTACCATTGGAGAATTTCAAAATTTGACTCAGTTGTGAGTATCATGTATTTGTGTTAAACTAGGTTCAAATGAAATTATTATGTAAAAGGTGTTAACTAGAAATCAACAAATTAGGCAATGTTCTGTTACTATTCCATAGTATGTATCCACTTTGATTACTGACTAGTTATGTGGGGATATCTTAAAATAAGTACCCGTTCTTTCAAAATTAAAAACTTTTATTTTTTATCAGAGCTCAACGTCAACATGGCTTGGTGTTCGTTTATCTTTTTCACTTTCATTGTTTTCATTATTGTGGTAGAAAGATACAAATTTTCAACTTATTTATCATACAGATAAGATAATTGTACATTTTCTTTTATTCGCAAAAGGGAAAACAAGTATCGTATCTTGTAGTTGTGTCCTAGCCCAAACTGAGAAAATTATATATTTATGTTGGTTATTGCAGGGATTTAAGCTTCAATAACATCACAGGACAAATTCTGGAATCAATTTTCAATCTGAGCTCGCTCTCTTACTTGTAATATTGCATTTCCAAGTAATTATATATTGATTTGTTGGTATGTTTTGGTACATAGTTAAAAGGATGTTTTATTTTTATCAAATATAGGTTTCTTGGAAATAATAAACTTAGTGGCACCCTCCCGACGCAGAAAAGTTCATCTCTTCGAAATATGTGAGTAAGATGGACCTTGACTTTACCGATTCAAAATACTAAGGCAAAATATAAGGAGCCCCATCCAACTATTGATCATGTGTAGAAACCCCCTCGTGCTTTGAAACTCAAACACAATTCGTTTAACTCACCAAACATTGCTTATTGATCAATAAAGGCATTTTTTTACACATCTGGCTGAGGGGGGAGGGGTGTCCATGCATAATTTGTTGAATCCATGAAATTTCGTTAGCAATTTTCAAAGCTTTATATGATCCATAGTTGGAAGGAATTCTACGTGTTTTGCCCAAGATTCTGAGCTTTACACTTAGTTACTATTTGAAAATTTCCAAATTACACTTGCACATGAATACGAGGGAGATCAATTGGAGCTTGGTCTTACAAGTTTAAAGATTAAGATGAACATAAATTGTGTTATAATGCCGACTGCCGAGAGGCATGTATGTGTTTTATTTATATATTTTTTTTTTTTTTTTTGTATGCTTGCTAATCGTCAATTTGCTAATTATTTTTATTTTTGAAGAAAGTTGGATGTTTTAAAATGGATGTTATAAGTACCGGTGTTAGATATGTTTCTGTATTGTAACTATATTTATTTATTTTTGAAATCTTTTGCTAATATGGTGGGGAATGACATGTATTGGATAAATGGTAGTCATTGAGTCTACAGCGACTAAATACTAATGTTGAAAAAGGAAAGCTAATTGCATCTATGTTGATGCTTTTTTGACTTTCTCCACTTTTCCCCCATTCTTGGAATTTATCAACTATAATTTTTTTAATGATGTTTTATAATGACTTTATTTGTTTATGATGTTTTCATGAGATGATTTACAATTTACATAATTTTTTAATAGTTTTCTACTATATCTTGTCATATCCATTCTTCTGTCCATGCTTGGATATGTGTAACATTAATTTTCACAGGTTTTGGTGACTATTTCGGTGTACTTTTAAACTCAGGAGTTTGTCAACAGATGTTAATATTAAACAGTTTTTTTTTGTCACACTAATTTCATCATTCCTCAAGTATTATCTTTCATTTGGTTTGACTTAACATGCTTGCAGAGACTTGTCATACAATAATCTATCAGGTAGCCTCCCCACTTGGGTAAACGAACAAAATTTACAACTGTAAGTGGCGTGATTCTTTTTTTCCCTCTTTTACATATCAATTTGTTAGCCAGGGCCAAATAAAATGGGTCTATTGTAAGATTAATAGAAGTAGCCTGGGGATAGGAAGAGATAATGGTCTACCAAGCTATTAAAGAGGATTGAAGTGTGTAATAAACTAATGACTTAGTTGAGTAGTTAAGAATTGTTAGAAAACAGGCAGGAGATGATGATCATTTTTTTTTTTTTTTTTATCTATTATATCACATTGATATATAAGGGTCCAAAGATAAAGAGACTTCTAAATAAACAATCTGTCTATTCCTACAATCTGATCTAGTTCTTGTACAATTTCTGTAGTTTCAATGCCCCTAGCATTACTTACCAACATATTTGCAAGCTAGTTGTGTGATGCTTGAAATGCTATACATATCCAATATTCCAATTCCAATTCCAATATACATCATATTTCCTAAGATTTTGTTTGAAATTATGATCTAGATCAATTTTGGTTATATTTATTTTTATAATTTAATAACTTACTATTCTGAATCATTATTTTTACGAAGCTTCGTGTTTTCATTTACCCTTTTGTAATAATATGTGTTTAGTTATGCTATTATCATTAATATTGTTTAAACTAGGTTTTTCTCAATTTTATTCAGATAATTTCTCAAAATTTTTAAAACCCAATATGATTGAGATAATAATGTTTATTAAAGTGATCTACATTTGAAAGAGATGAAAATAAATATATAAATACAATTCAAGTAAATTAAATTTTAATTTTTTAAGCATTTTAATTCATTAATATCATTGTTTTAGTGACACTTATATTCCATTTACTAAAATAATAAAATTGTCCATGCCTCCTTTCACCTTTAAATGGCCAACTAAGTTTTAGTTCATATTTTAACATCATATATTGAAAATTAGACAATAACTTACTTAAGGTTTATCTCTCTCTATATATATACGTCTATTTATCTATCTACCTACTTATCTATATATGTAGGTGAATCTCATTTTGATATTTTTGGGGTGTGAAATGCAGGAATTTAGTTGCCAACAACTTGACAATAGATGGTTCAAATACCAGGTGACTATTATACAATTTCTTTAGTGATGATTGTTTTAATAGTTCTCTTAAATCTTATTGTGTATCACGTATTTTTGGCAATAATGCAATTTTTGATCTTGCTCAAATCCAATTTTTCATAGTTTTCTGTCAAGATTGACATGCTGGTTGCATCGCTTCTCTCTCTATTTTGACAATTTTCCAATCAAGTTGAAACATTTTCCTTTCCTGCATAAATGTATTGTATCTTGCTTGCCATCATGGTATCACTGATACTCATACTTTATTTAACAATTTTTAAAAATTATTATCATTGTACTTGATTTTGTTGGTTTCCCTTTTATTCCTCATCCCCATTCCTCTAGTTACATAGGTCTTGACTAATATTTTATGTTATGCTTATTTGATATGTTTATCAATTGTTTCATTAGGTACAAGTTAGCTTGTGTCATGTGGGATGCATATTTGATATAGTCATTAATATTTGATAAATTGATAGTGTTAATTAATTTATTTATGTGCATTAATTTCCAAAGTAGATATGATAATTGATTTGCCCTTACTTGGTGAGTGAAGAACTATTGTTGCGATGGTTTTCTATTTTAAACCATCTTTATGATTTGGATAGTCAAAGCAAGGATGCGGTCTGTAGCTAACACTTAATAATTTTAACATGTCACCACAATTTTATAAGATTAAATATAAATACTTTTTTCAACTAAATGGAATAATCCATAAGGTTGTACTTTTCAATTTATGAAATTTTGTAAAAACTAATTCTCATTAGTAACACTTAAACCAAAAAGATTGTTAAGTAAATTAATTTGAGGTCCAATCAGCCACTCTTTAAACATTGTTAACACTTGTTTTGTTGATTTTCCTAAACTTTGAAGATATTTTCGCAAGAATCTGGAAGTTGTAGTTCTCATACGTATTGGGGGTCTATGTAAAAGCCTTAGCAAGTAAATCTTAATAAAATGAATCTTTGATTTCTATTTATACTGCTTAGAAAATTCATTTGTGCACCAATCTTTTATTAGGAATAACTTAAGGCCATATAAATTTCTCCGGACTGAAACATAACTTCTCTTTTGCAGTGGCTTGCCTATTGGAATCAACTGTCTCCAGAAAAATTTTCCTTGTAATAGAGGTGCTGGAAGATGTAAGTTTGACTTTAAGCTAGCTTGTCATGTAATGTGAGACATGTGAGGCACTAAAACTGATAAGAAAATATTATCAAAAACAAATTGTTAAGATTACCATTATTGATATCAGGGGGCAAGCCTCAGTGCAATGGTAAAGTTGTTGCCTCTTGCATGGGTTTAAATCTTGGAAATAGCCTCTCATCTCAACTTATGGGGATCCATACCTCTACGCTCCCCACATGCCACTAAGTTTTATCCTTGTGCTTCTCCAATCTCCATTATTTTCTTCCCTCTAGACTTATGTATAAACAAAAAAAAACTAATTTCACACATATAGTTAAATACATTTAATTTTCACGATTTCATATAAAATATACGATAAATTTACTAAAATATCCTTAATGACATTTATTATAGCTAGTATTTTCATTTATTGTCTTAGGGTATTTTTGGATTAAGAGTATTAATAAATTTGACTTGGTTGAAATTTGTTTATATTTAAGCCAAAAAAAAAAATTAACCATTTTTTTTTGCTTATATATAAGTTCCGAGAGAGTACCTGTTGTCCCATGTACATTATGTGACACTCTCCTGATAGGCTGATATTGTTTTCTCCTCAATTCTAGCAACATTCCATTGAAAATCATCTTATTACCTTTAAGTTTTCACCTTCCAATAAATCTAACTTCTTTTTTTTTTATTTTATTTTTTTTTTTATCATTCTTTCTACAATATAAAGATTTATAAAGTTGCTGCAAAATCCATTATCCTTACACATCGCTGCCTCCTCCACCAGGCCAACCACCATTTTTTTTTAATTAATTTTCATTCCTGGCATTCGTTAGATTTGTTTGAACAACCTTTTTTAAACAGACAAACAGATTCTTACAACCTTTGTTGGACTGGGATCTGTTTCTTATTTTGAAGCATTTTTGAACATCTTGATTTGTGACTAACATCGTGGCATTGGGTAAAAAATATTAAACGAGCCACAACATATAGTAAGATTTCTCTTCTAATATTTTTCAGCATGAAATCAGGATGACCTAATAAAGGATTATTGAGTGGGTATTGTTCACTCCAGGTATAAGAATATCGTCTGTAATTGCATTAAGGGGTAGAGAGGAATAATAATATTTCATTTTAGATATCAAATCAATCCTATCTATCTGGGACTAATTTAGAATTCATAACTATTGGATTAAGTGATTGAATGATCTCTCTGCCATCTTTTTTCAGTACATGGAAAAGAAATATCAGTCTTTATATTAAGTCAATTTTGGAAATTAAAACCCCTTTTCAGTCATTGATCAGTCTCTTATCTATGATTCTATGCAGATTATGACTTTGCAATCAAGTGTGGCGGTAACCAAATTAGGTCAACAGATGGAACAGTGTATGAAATGGACAATGCAACACTTGGGCCTGCTACATACTTTGTTACTGATACAGATAAATGGGCTGTTAGTAACGTTGGATTATTCACGGGTAGCAATAATCCTGTATTCAAAAGTTCTGTGTCTAATCAGTTCACTGGTACTGTGAACCCGGAGCTCTTCCAAACAGCACGACTCTCTGCTTCATCGTTAAGATATTATGGTCTGGGACTAGAAAATGGCTTTTACAACATCACCCTTCAATTTGCTGAAACAGCTATTCTGGATAGTACTAACACATGGAAAAGCCTTGGGAGGCGGGTCTTTGATATTTATATTCAGGTATTTGTCTCTTTATTAGAAATCATAATGATGAGTTTTAAAAGAATTTGCATGAATATAATGATTTTAAAGATTTTTTTTAAAAGAATTTGTAGGAATTTAATAACTTTTAAGATTCTTTTTGAAAGACTTTTATAATCAAGATTTTGTAACAGATTTTGTTGTCAGTATACATCACCAGATAAGAATATGAAAATATTTTAAAAATTGGGCTATAACTTGGATATTAGGACGACACTAGGAGGTTTTGAAGCATTATTCTACAGTATAGCTCTTACAATGGCTTGATGGGAATTGATAGGAAAGGAATATTTTGTGTGGATTCTTCTCCCATGTGCATATTTTTCAGTTGTCCTAATCACATTTGTAGAACCAAATTATTTTTGTTGTTAAACATTTTGAATTTATGACGTGTCATTAACCCTATGTTTTCTTGCCTTTTATTGGATCTTCATTTTCTTTCCATTTTTGAATTTTCCAGGGGACTCGTGTTTTGAAGGATTTTGACATACAAAAGGAAGCTGGGGGCGTCTCATACAGAGCTGTCCAAAAACAATTTAGGTTTGAAGTGTCAGAAAACTATCTCGAGATCCATCTCTTTTGGGCTGGAAAAGGGACTTGCTGCATACCTGCTCAAGGTACTTATGGGCCTTTGATTCAAGCCATCCATGCTATCCCAGGTAAAACTATGAAATTTTTTTGGCATTTCAGATGTTTAATTACTAAGCTTTCACAATTATAATCTCGTCAACTAAATATTCAAAATTTGTATTTTTAAATTTGATAAAGTGTTCCTATGTTGTACAGATTTCATACCTAGTGTCAGTAACAAACCGCCAAGCAATAAAAAGAATAGAACCGGTCTAATTGTTGGAATTGTTATTGGAGTTGGAGCTGTTTGCTTTCTATCAGTTTTTGCAATTTTTTGTATCATTCAGAGAAGAAAACGCCATGATGATAATGAAGGTAAAGACATTATGTGAATATTTGTAGTTGTTCTCAAATTAAATTATTCTTTTGCATATTGCATGGTAAGATATTTTAAGATCTAGTGTGACATACGTTACATATGTTTCTAGACATGAATATGACAAATTTTCTCTTCAACATTACAGATTTTATATGTTTAGGTATTTGTATGATAATATAACCAAAAGATAGAAGAAATGCTTGAACTCCGCTTAAAAGTCCAACATTATAGGCATTAGACAATGCATGTGTATTTGTTCTATCTGTTTTTCTTATCTTAATTCAAAACATTCTAAAAAACCTGGATGAAGGATGTTTCTGAACTTGAAAAACAAGAAAACAACCATCATTCCCAGCTTTAACAAAATAAGTTTATGCTTATTCAAGCTTAACTTTGTTCATGTTTGACTTTGCAGAACTTTTAGGAATTGATACAAAGCCATACACTTTCAGCTATTCTGAGTTAAAAAATGCTACAAATGACTTTAATGTTGAAAATAAGCTTGGTGAGGGAGGTTTTGGACCTGTTTATAAGGTAATATTTGTTCCTTAGAGATAATGGCTGTATGCTACTTTGCAAAAGGTTATCATTGTCAATAATGATTCAAATAATGCTCATTGCAACTGGTAGTAAGTGATAGAGTCAACATTATTCACTAACTCCTTAGATTTTTGTTAATTAAATTAATAAGTATTTAATAAAAACTAGTAGGGTTGGTGCCCCATAAACATTACGTGCTTCCTTATTACCCCCAAGAGTTCATATTTCTAGTTATGTATATCTTTAGATATGCTGATATTTAGAATTTTAGCATGTTTAATGTAATGATTTTCTTGATAATTAAATTTTAGCGCACAAAATGCTAGGGTAGAATTTTTTTTATTCTTTTTCAACTGATGATCATATGTTATTGTTTATCTTATATTTTTGTGTCAGTGTTCTTAATAAATTTATATAATTTTTATTATTAATAGCCAGTGCTTCCCCTAACCCGGGTCTGACTCGACAACTGCCAGTTGTTATACTGTTTTGATCAAAGTGATAATTTTTTTTAATATTTAATTTTTGGGACCAATATAGAAACTAAATCACTACTTTCAGCAGTTGATATTTCGTATAAATATCATGGTCATAAAAAGAATATAAAAAACTAAATCCTTTTTATGAGAATATTATTTTTCCTTTCTTTTTTCTTGTAGGGGACACTTAATGATGGAAGAGTTATTGCTGTGAAACAACTATCTGTGGGATCCCATCAAGGAAAAAGCCAATTCATAACTGAGATTGCTACTATATCAGCTGTGCAACATCGTAATCTGGTCAAATTATATGGATGTTGCATTGAAGGGAGTAAAAGGCTTCTTGTCTATGAGTATCTAGAAAATAAGAGTCTTGATCAAGCATTATTTGGTATGAGAAAATGATATTTTTTGTCTTTGAGTTTATATTTATGAATGCATATTCGTTTTCTCATTTTCTTCTGTATAAAAAGCTAAGGACAGCCGTGGTTTGTTTGGGACAGGAAATTGTTTAACCCTCAATTGGTCCACACGCTATGATATATGCTTGGGTGTTGCTAGAGGTTTAACTTACTTACATGAAGAGTCACGTCTCCGTATTGTACACCGTGATGTGAAGGCCAGTAATATTTTGCTTGATTATGAGCTTATTCCCAAAATATCTGATTTTGGCTTGGCCAAATTGTATGATGATAAAAAGACCCATATAAGCACCCGTGTGGCTGGGACAATGTGAGTCATTAATACTTTATCAATTTGTATTGATTTCATGATTTTTTTCTATATTTTATTTGTTTATGGTCTCATTTTTATTTTAATTAATTTTAAATTGTTGTTATACTCTGTGATGAAGTGGATATCTTGCACCGGAGTATGCCATGCGTGGACACCTTACAGAGAAAGCAGATGTCTTTTCCTTTGGTGTTGTGGCTTTAGAGTTAGTAAGTGGAAGGCTAAATTCTGATTCAAATTTGGAAGGAGACAAAGTGTATCTTCTTGAATGGGTATGCATGCGACCTCAACTTCCTATGAATGTTAAATTTCCTACTTTTATCTTAATTATACCTATATTATATACGTAAAATTATAATCCAAAGTTAGCAGCTTTTCATTTCCATTTTTTTAATTGTTAAACAAGTAAAACATCTAATTAATTTGATATTGCATTTGAATAGGATAATGAATCTCTTCCGCATGATAACTAATTCTTCGCTTGCTTAGATTTTTTTTTTTCCTTTTGATTTACTTGTTACCTAATACATTGGATGTGATAAGCTATATAATGTGAATTAGTCTTTTGCCTATTGGTGTCTATTTTCTAAAATCTTCCTAAAAGGAATGATGCTTTCTTTTATGTTTACTTAATGGGGGACATAACGATACTCAATATATGATAATCATGATGATAATGTGATAAAAATATAATAATCATTACAAACATTTATGTGCAAGATTAGTTTTTGTAACATCCCTTTTATTAATCATAATTATTGATCGGGATTACACGTCACTAAAAATTATTCTGCTCTACACTACATTGTTGCATCAGAGATGTAATGGCTTTGGTTAGATCATCTATTTCTCATGGGATATGTACTTATTGTTTTTTGCTATTTAGTTATCAGGACAATCTTGCTAGCATAATATGAAGAAAAATAGTATAAGAGGTTGTATTCTAATTATTACAGTTGACTCGTGTTAATACTACTAAAAAGAATTTAGGACCCCCTCATATTTGTCATCTTTTCGATTTGTGCATTTGGAAACACTTTATTGTTTATCATTTTACCTTATTGTCATTGGTTGTGTCTGTTAGGCTTGGCAACTTCATGAGAACAATCAGATAATTGATCTGGTGGATCCTAGACTTTCAGAATTCAATGAGGAAGAAGTAAAACGTGTTGTAGGAATAGCACTTTTGTGTACTCAAACATCACCAACATTACGACCATCAATGTCACGTGTGGTAGCAATGCTTTCAGGAGATATTGAAGTGAGCACTGTGACTACAAGGCCTGGATACCTAACTGATTGGAAATTTGAAGATGTGTCCAGCAGCTTGATAACTGACTTTGCAATGAAAGGATCTGATACAAGTTACCAGAATTCATCAGGAAGCACCAGCATGATGGGTGGTTCAGACTTGTATTCACCAATAAATGTGTCTAAACCGATCCATAACGAGACTCTTAGCCAGGGTAGATAAGAAAATGTGGATTCTATAGTATTCAGATAAGTAGTAGAACAATGATAATGTCACTGTACTCCACTTTTTTCCTTTTGTTTTACATTTTCTTTAGCCTTTGTTGTATTGTTTACTTCAGTTTTGGTGTAGAACAATGAATTTGTGAATTCTTTAATTTTTAATGTAAATAACCATCTAAGTTATGGAATGTACATCAACTAATCAACTAGTGTGATCATGCATGTCATACGCGCGATGTGTTGTTGTCTTTCGTTTATTTTAAAATAAGAGAAATTCTATGGTATCCATGTTATTTGAGAGGGTACCGGTACAGTTGTAATTACAATTTTATTTTATATTTTATATTTTTAATAATTTCTTTAAATAATATTTATGATATTTTTTTCTTTCAAATTTTAAATTATTTAGTTATTTTATTTTTATTTTATATATTCTAATTTTATTTGTAATGATATTATTATATATTTAAATAGTTTAATTTTAATAATTTTTTAAGTATATTTTCGTCTTTTCACTTAAAATTTTTAAATTTCTATATTTTAATTTTAATAATTTTTTATTTCTACTATTTATTAATTCTTTTCTTTTTTAATGTTTTATAACATTATTGAAATCTTATAATTTTAAGTTCTATAATTTTATCTTACTTTTCATTTTATAAATATAATTTGAATTATTTATTTTATAATTAAATTATTTTTTTTATAGATTTTTTATGAGTTTACATATAAGAATGTATTGAAATCCCTCAATTTTTGAGGGTACCGTAACAACTCCCTTAAAATAAAATACCTAGGTTAAAATATTTTTTTTAAAATCTTTATAGATTTATTTACTTTATTTTTTAGTTTCTATAGTTTAAAATAAACATTTTTAGTCTCTAAACTTATTTTTTTCAATTCTTTTTAGTCTTTATAGTTTAATATAGATTTTTTTAGTTCTAATATTTACTATTTTTTATTCTTTTTAGTCTTTATCATTAATTATTTTTTATAACATTGTTAGTTTTGTGTTGAAAAGGTATAAGTCTTCAATTTTGTAAGGGTAAATAAAAGGCGTCTTAATAATAGACGTCATTCAAGACAACGTTGAATTAATATTTTGTCACATCAATACGAAAGAGACATCGTTACAAAAAAAAGAAAAAACTTAATGACATAGGCTAAAATGATTAAAAATTTGTAAGTATAAACACTAAAATGTTTGTCTAAAACTATAAGGACTAAAAAGAATTGAAAAAGATAAGTATATAGACTAAAAATGCATATTTTATACTATAAGGACTAAAAGATAAAATAAGTAAAATTGTAGAGAATAAAAAAGTGTCTAACCTGAAAACATATTTTTTTTCCTTGATCCTTTAGCTTTTAAAAAATGTTAAATGTTATTTTTCCATTCAAATTGACATTAATGAGATTAGATATGATAACATTTATGAAGGAAAGAAAGACATAAGAAGGAGGGAGGTTGAATAACATCAATTAAAAACTCAACACTTTTTTTAAATATTGAAGTAATATCAAAATCTTATGAATGCAAATGAAAAGTTAAGAAGAACATAATATTTTTATATTGGTTCGTCTCAACCACTGAATACGTATAATTCTTGATCAACCTAATCAAGTTCTGCTATCTTTGAAAATATACAAATATTATATGCTTTTTGAGATGAACTTAGAACTAAAAGGGAGTGAGTTATTTTCTATGTTGAAAAATCCCATTGTGAGGATTTGAATTATAATGCTTTGAGAGCCCAAAGATGAAATCCTTTAGTGGGAAAGTTGACTCTTGAAATAGAAAGTTGTTTTAAAAAGTTTTTTTCCTCTAGATTCATAGTTGATACATTAGGGGGGTTAAGGTAGAGTCATATTTTTTGTGAAGTGACCAATGAGTAAGGTATGAAGTCATGGGCCAAAATTCCTTATCGAGTGTTGAAAGGATCCGTAATATTTGGATGGTAGATGGTGAGTTAATCCCATTTAGGCTTTGATTAATGCATGTCAATGTTATGGTAGACTCACACCCAAATTGTTTTATTCCTAATAGTAGTATTGAACCACCTTAGTTTAAGTGGTGGAATTTGATAAATCATTTTTGAGTTGATTACCACTTTTAAACCAAACTCATGTAGTTATGACCTAGACATGAAAGGTCTTATGTGTTGTTGGTTTGGTATGATTAAACTACTTAAACTTCTCACATGTGGTGTAAGAGATCTCCTAAATTGAATTGTGTGACAATGCATAATGATCCTAAGTTGTATTCTATATTGTGGAGTTGTATGATATTGTGGTTAAGTTGCTTATGTTGAAATTTGAGATGTTAAGGTGTTGAGTTAAAATATAGAGATGCAATGTCTATTGTGTTGTTATAATGTTTTCTAAGTTGAACTTGATATAGTGCAATTGCTTGAAGTTGATATAGATAACTTTACAACTTTCTAATATATGTTGTTTTCTACTAGACAAACTTATCCTTATTTTTCTATATTGGACTATGATGATCATACTTTGTATGAGAACAAGTCAGGATTAGGTGAGGAACAAGTTTGATGTTGGATAACTATGTGGAGATGGATTTTTGGTGGAGTTGTTATGATGCACTAGTTGTGTAGAGTGCTTGATCAACACCTAGGACTTTTGCTTTCAATTTTTGTACAATGTAGATATTTATACTTATTGTATATATGTATTGATGGAATCATGCCAAGGCCAAGAAAACCAAGAGGTGGCACATTGAAGGACTTAAGAGGAGTAGGTTAGTTTTGAATATCATAGTAGGATTAGGCCTACTTTTGAGTTAGTGGGTCTTAACTCATCTTGGGCTATGGCCCTCTAACTAAAAGCCCAATACCTCTCATATGATTGTATATATATAGTAGTCCATATTATAGGTATCATATTTTTAGCCTTGTATTTTGGACACCTAGATTATGATTTTTGGCCTAGAAGCCGATTTGGGTCTATTAGTGGGCTTTATGGGCTTTGGGTTTTTCATGGCCAATATTAGTCTTGTTTTGTTTGTCTTTTTATTTTAGACATGATCGTATAAGAATTTTAGACCTTGTGTACATAGGTCTCTTAGTATAAGAATTTTTAGTTTTAGGAGAGTTACATTGGAACTAAATGTAATTTAGAGCTCACTTCCATTTAATTTGAGTCATGCTTCTTAAACATGCTCAAATTAAATTCAAATGAGCCTTAAATCACATTTGAATCAGATTTGGAAAGCTAGAGCACATGGGAGAGTGGGGCCACACATCATTTTCGTTCAAAACCAACTAGTTTGAGTTTGAATTTCAAATTCAAACTAGTTTTGGCTCCATTTGGCTCTCTTTCTCTCCCTAGGTTCTATGCTTCCTACATATTCTCTCCTTCACATTATAATATCACTTTTGAGCATTTATGAGATTTCATATTCAGAAACCTATCTTCTCTCTCTTAAGAGTCATCAAGGAGAAAACTCGTACTTAAGCTACCTTTCTCCATAAGGAAACCTTCCTTGTGGACAAGGAACCCTAATTCCTTGCTTCTCCTTCACTTAGGAGATTCTTGCGCCTAGTTCTTCTTCTCCATATCCATTCAACCTTCATTCCAACAACATCATTTGGTCTTTTGAAGATTCAAGATCTCAAAGGAAGCCTAGTGGATCCGTGGAGACCTAAGGAGAAAGATTCATTGATCTTCCTCCTCCTAGGTTTCATCATTTTTGGTATCATAATTTTAAACATTAGGGCCTATTAATGTAATTTTTGTACAATGTAGATATTTATACATATTGTATATATGTATTTAGGATGATTATAACCACATAAAGAACTTTATATTTTAAATCCTTGTGCAAGTCTTGTTTTACATTTTTTTAAACTAATACACACACACACACACACACACACACACACACACACATATATATATATATATATATAATTTTGTATGAATATTCAGGAATTGCTTGCATTAGAACCATAATTTAGTTGATTTTGCGTTTTTTGATATAGTTGTGTTGTTAAGTATAGCGATCAGTCAGGTTGTTATAGATTTGATAGAATTTAACAAAATAAAACTTAAAAATACACAAAAGAATATGCATGACTATTAACATGTTAAAATTTCAATTAGAAATCTAAAAGTTAATTTCTCTTGAATACACCTATAGAAAATATTTTATAATTAAACCATTTATCATGAGGGTTCAGTGTGAAAAGGTTGTATTCCTAATTAGAAGTGTTTATAGTGCAATCTGATTTGATTTTTGTCTTAAAAGTCATTCGAACCAAACAAGAAAATTAAGTGTTGTTTGGTTTGAACAAATTATAAAATTTGAATCAAACTAAATCAATCTTTTATGATTTTGTTTGGTTTGATTTTTGTGGTTTTAAAATTTTGTTATTTATAAATATACTAAAAAAGTAATATTATGTTATTTGTTTAAAATCGTACATAAAAAAATAAAATTAAAAGTATGCAAATTACGAAAATATTTCATCACTTAATGTATTTAACATCAATTCTTATTTTTTTAGTAAAAGCATATCTTTAATACAATTTTAGTTATCATATTTTAAATATTTTTTTCTCATATATATTGTTTGTCACTTAAAAAAATATTTTTGAATCTTATAAATAAATCATATTTTTTCATTCTAAAATTCAATTTAGTAGCTTACATTTTTTTATAAAATATCTTTTATATATTATAACATATATTATGAGAGAAAAACATCTTTTAGTAGCAAACAATTTTATAAAACTCTTTTTATGTTATGTATCAATTTTATATACATGTACTATGTATTTATATATACATATATATATATATATATATATATGTATGTATGTATGTATATGTATATTCACAGATAAGTGCGGTTTGGTTTGGTTTGGTTTAAAGCGGTTTTAAATTTCAATCCAAAAATAGAACCTAACCGTGCAATTTTGGAAATTTTAAAATTGAATTGCTAATTTGCGATTTTCATTGATTTTCAATGTTTTTAAATTAGTTTGCGATTTTCCATTTGAGTTGATTTGATTTTGAACACCTTTATTCGTAATTGTGAGCTCTTACCACCTTTAGGCTGAAGAATGTTGTTGGCATAGACATCTAATACTAAGATTTAATAATTACAATCTTTCAAAATATAGATAGAATTGTTGAACCAAAGACGAATGAAATCGTCGAACATTCTATTTTTGATGATA